GCCAGGTGTGGTGGCACATGCCTGTAGTCCCAGCTACTCGGGAGGCTGAAACAGGAGAATCACTTGAACCTGGGAGGCGGAGGTTGCGGTGAGCCAAGATCGTGCCTGTGCACTCTAGCCTAGGTGACACAGCGAGACTCCGTCTCCTTTCTTTTCTTCTTTTTTTGCTCACTTTTAACTGTCTTGATCGAGTTATAGCGAGACTCTGTCTCAAAAAAAAAAAATCTCTTTAGCTTTGCACACACATTTAAGATTTGGTAATGACTCTCTGAACAACACAGCATTTCCACAGAGGAGCTTCAGTTGGATGGGGTGGAGGGCGGAGGACAGAGGTCATGTTTGCAATCCCTACAAAATCCCACATACATGAGTCAGGCTTGGCACACAGTAGGTGAGTGGGCACCAGAATGAAAAAGTACACGTGACTGACAGCTCCAAGCAGTTTTCAGAGCAACATCCCTTGTGGGCAAGACAGCTGACCCCACACCAACGCAGGGAAGGCCTGGACTCACAACAGGGGCATTGCGGAAACCCTTGATGGCCTGGAAGACTCCACCACCGATGACACCCATAGTGAAGGCTCCTCCGCAATCATCCACAATTCGCCATGGGCTGCAAGCAGGAAGGGAAGGACGGGGTTAATGTGAGCCCTCCCCTAGGCCCTGTCACACGGATTCTTTTCTAACTGGGAGAAACCAAGTCACCAGAATGGGAAGTGCCTAAGTAGGAACGAACACTTCAGATAATAAGGAGCTAGTCCTGTCAGTTCCCCCGGCATTAAAGCGAGAAATAGGGCAAAGGGGGAGAAATATTAGTCTTCGTCCTGTCTACCAACCAAGGAATCAGCCAACTGCTTTACTGTGCTCAAAGATTAAATGAATTGGCACACACAAAGAGCTGACGTTTCAATAAGCGAAATAGGCGTGTTAACTAACCAAGACAGATCGTCGGCAAAGCAGGACCGCCTCACACCCCTTCTCCGACGGTGAGACCGTCCAATCAAGCCCCGCCCCTTTTCAATCCAGTACAACTGGGAAAAACCAAGAGCAAACTCGGGGAGGATGCACCGCCCCCTCTGGCCTTCAATAGGCTCATCCGTGCCCCGCCCCCACTGACAAACGCGACCTGGAAAAAACCACCCGCGGCAACTCTGGGGATTTCCGTTCAATCCCGTACCACCCCCAGCCGGGATGGATTCGACCAACGTGTTTTTTCGTTAACAAACAGGTACTAGGAGATTACGAAGTCAGGAAAACGTGGCGTGGTTCGGCCTCCGCCGCACCTTCTGAGGGGAGACGGTTGTGGCCCCTCATAACAGAGCCCGAGTGACAGGAACCAAGTTGGGGGAGTGAGAAATATATTAAGAGTACCCCGAGTCTGGTATATGGTTCTGTGCGGCCGACGCCTCCCCCGCCCGACCCCCACGGCTGGCCTTGGCGTCGCAGCAACAGTCCCGATGCCAGTGCCCATCGCCGTACCAAGGCTCCCGAGCGTACTCCTCCATGGCGCTGGCGTCCGGCCGCGCAGTCAGGCCACGCCCCCAGTGTTGACGCACACCGGTGTCCGAGCTTTCCGCCTATTACCGGACAGCGATTGGGTTGGTACGCAGCACGTCACACCAAGGACACACTCTCATTGGCCAATCGAGTTTGCGCCATTTGCTCACTGCCTCCTTAGCGTAGTCCAGTTACCTTCAAGCTCGGGGTGAGACCTCATTCTGTGCTTTGGGAAGAGAGTCGTGTTGTCTCAGGTATCGTAGCGGCGACACGAGAGAGACTGCCGGTGTGACAGCCTTCCACTACCTGCACGACTGTATTGGTAACGTTGGGGTGGGTGCATTCTTTTGGAGCTGGAGGAAGTGCTGCCCTCTGCTCCCCCATACCAGCGCTTTGGTTTCTCCCACCCGGCGGTCTTTGGGGGACGCTGGATGAGCCCATTTCTGGGGTGCGGGGTAGCCGCAGTTCTTAGGCGGTGGGCGGAGCCTGGGCCTGGGAGAGGAACTGGGTCCTGGAGCACCCTGTTTCGGGACAGAGTTGGTAAGAGTTTTGGTGATATTGCCACCTATCTCTTATCTCTTACGTCTTGTAGTGCGTATGTTCTGTCCACTCAACTACTGTTTCAGTTGAATAGATGGGAGTCAGATGTGTACATGTTGAGGGGAGGCGCTTGTTTACGGGATCCAGATATGAATCCTTATCTGAGCTGCTTATCAGTTTGTCCTTCTGTTCTAAGGTCTGTCTGCTACCAGCTATGCCGCTGCCCGTTGCGCTGCAGACCCGCTTGGCCAAGAGAGGCATCCTCAAACATCTGGAGCCTGGTGAGACAGCTAAAAGCAGATGGTCCTACACGTTCCAGCCTCCACGGACACTTTTGTTGTTAATACTGATGCTTGATACCTAGCGTGGGCCAACTGTGCACCAAGCAATGGGGTGGCAGGCATTTTTTGTTGTTAACGATGTGGATTCCTCACATCCATCCCTACCATATGTCAAGTGGAGGGGGTTAGGGGAATAGTCTTTTTTTTTTTGAGATGGAGTCTCGATCTGTGCCCAGGCTGGAGTGCAGTGGCATGATCTTTGCTCACTGCAGCCTCTGCCTTCCAGGTTCAAGCGATTCTCCTGTCTTAGCCTCCAGAGTAGCTGGGAGTATAGGCACGTCCCACCACACCTGGCGATTTTTTTTTTTTTTTTTGAGACGGAGTCTGGCTCTGTCGCCCAGGTTGGAGTGCAGTGGTGCAATCTAGGCTCACTGAAATCTCTGCCTCCCAGGTTTAAGTGATTCTCCTACCTCAGCTTCCTGAGTAGCTGGCATTATAGGCGTGTGCCACTACACCCAGCTGATTTTGTTTTTTGGAGACGGAGTCTGGCTCTGCGCCCAGGCTGGAATACAGTGGCAGCATCTTGGCTCACTGCAACCTCCCCTTCCGGGTTCAAGTGCAATTCTCCTGCCTTAGCCTCTCGAGTAGCTAGGACTACAGGCACACCACCATACCCGGCGATTTTTTTTTTTTTTTTTTAAACAGATTCTCGCTCTGTCGCCCAGGCTGGAGTGCAGTGGCACAATCTAGGCTCATTGCAACCTCTGCCTCCAGGTTCATGATTCTCCTGCCTCAGCTTCCCGAGTAGCTGGCATTATAGGCATGTGGCACCACACCTGGCTGATTTTTTTTGTTTTTTTGTTTTTTCTTTTTTTGCAGACTGAGTCTTGCTCTGTGGCAGAGGCTGGAATGCAGTGGTGCTATCTTGGCTTACTGCAACCTCTGCCTCTGCAGTTCAAGCAATTCTCCTGTCTTAGCCTCCCTAGTAGCTGGGACTACAGGTGTATGCTGCCATGCCCGGCTAATTTTATGTATTTCTAGTAGAGACGGGGTTTCACTGCATTGCCCAGGCTGGTCTCAAACTCCTGAGCTCAAGTAATCCACCTGCCTCAGCCTCCCAAAGTGCTAGGATTACAGGCATGAGCCATGGCGCCCAGCCACACCCGGCTGATTTTTGTATTTACAGTAGAGACACAATTTCACCATGTTGGCCAACCTGGTCTCAAACTCTTGACCTCAGGTGATCCACCCCCCATCGGCCTCCCAGAGTGCTGGGATTACAGGCGTGAGCCACCGCGCCCAGCTGGATATTTCATTCTTAACAATACTGACTGGATGGGCTTGGTGGCTCACTTGAGTTTAGGGGTTCAAGACCAGCCTGAGCAACAAGGCGAAACCCCATCTCTACAAAAAATGCACAAATTAGCTGTGTGTTGTGGTGCATGCCTGTAGTCCCAGCTATTTGGGAGGCTGAGGCGAGAGGATTGCTTGAGCCTGGGATGATGTCGAGGCTGCAATGAGCCGAGATTGTGCCACTGCACTTCAGCCTTGGTGACACATGGAGACCCTGTCTCAAAAAAATCCAAAAAAAACATAAAACAATACCAACCACCTAATGCCTATGTTGGGCCTATCGTATGCCAGGTTAAATCCATGGATTACTCTGGGAGTGATGACACAGTATCTAATAGGAAGGATTGCCAAACTTCTACTGCTGTCTCCTGTGTGCCAAGTACAGTTTCAGCGAGGATCTATCATTTAGGCTTATTGTGCCCTGGCTGCAAATCACACCGTATTGTCAGTAATACTAAAAACTGGCATCTATTTGAGGCTATGGTGTGGCACTGAAAAATGCATCTTATCCTTATTGATAACTGACATCTATTACAAGCCTACTGTATGCAAAGCATAGACCTCCTTGTGATTAATAAAATTGACAATGATCATTGATTTTCTTTTCCTCTTTTTTTTTTTTTTTTAGACAGAGTCTCACTCTGTTGCCCAGGTTTGGAGTGCAGTGGCCCAATCTCGGCTCACTGCTACCTCTGCCTCCTGGGTTGAAGCAATTCTCCTGCCTCAGCCTCCTGAGTAGCTGGTACTATAGGTGCACACCACTGTGCCTGGCTAGTTTTTGTATTTTTTAGTAGAGACAGGGTTTCACCATGATGGCCAGGCTGATTTTCTTTTAAGCCTACTGAATGACCCGTCCCTATGGTATGTATCTTATTTATTTATTTATTTGAGACACGGTCTCACTCTTTTGCCCAGGCTGGAGTGCAGTGGCACGATAATAGCTCACTGCAAGCTCAAACTCTGGGGCTCAAATGATCCTCCTGCCTTAGCCTCCTGAGTAGTTGGGATTACATACATGTACCATTGTGCCCAGGTAGTTTTTTTTGTAGAGACAGTGGTCTCACTATGTTGACCAGGCTGGTCTCATGTTGAACTCCTGGCCTCAGGTGATCCTCCACCTTTTCCAAAGCACTGGGATCACAGGCATGAGCCCCCACACCCAGCCTCTTATTAACAGTAGTGGTGATTATATAGCTGACATCTGTTTTGGTTCTGCTGTGTGACAGCCACTGTGCTGTTGCTGGCATATGCATTTCATAATTTATTATATCCACAGCTGAAATCTGTTATAGGCCTACTGAGGGCCAGGCACTGAGCTAAGGGAATCTTTTTATTCTATGATATTGACTGACATCTGTTGCAGGCTTACTGTGTGTCAGGCCTCAGGAACTTAATGGATTCAGAGTAATGTTTGGATAATTCCATTGCCATCCAAACTCCTGATACCCAATATACGGGACTTACCCTGTAATCATGAAGCTTGCATGCTAAATAGATTGAACATATTGTCAGATTAATCCTTTACCGTTCAAACCCATTTTATCTAAATAGATTTGGGTAGCACAGTTTCACATATCTGAACTCAGGAACTGAATAGAGAAGGGTAAATTTTGGCCGGGCGCGGTGGCTCACGCCTGTAATCCTAGCACTTTGGGAGGCCGAGGTGGGTGGATCACCTGAGGTCAGGAGTTCAAGACCAGCCTGGCCATCACGGTGAAACCCCATCTTTAAAAAAAAAATAGAAAAGAAAAAAAAAAAGAAGAAGGGTAAATTTTTTGATGAATCCCTATCAACTCTGAAACCAGATAGCTTTGGCCAACAATAGAACTCATCAGAACCCAGAAACAGAACAGAGTTAGGTAAACTTTTTCTTGTAACCCTTCTAATACAGAGAGTTGGATTTGGAATGTGAGGGATACTTCATATCCTTCCTGGCGTACACACACACGTGTCTTTTACATGTGGCTTGTGTGAATGTGTGTGTGTCTCTAGGCTCTGTAGGATGAGGACTCCCTTGGTCCCTAACTGTTCTCCTCCTCCCCACCTTGATCTGTCAGAACCAGAGGAAGAGATCATTGCCGAAGACTATGACGATGATCCTGTGGACTACGAGGCCACCAGGTTGGAGGGCCTACCTCCAAGCTGGTATAAAGTGTTCGACCCTTCCTGGTGAGCCTGGATGAGGGGGAGCTGACTTCTGACTTCAGCCTTCCTGTGCTGACCTTGATTGTGAAGTACAGGGGGACACAAGGGAGGGGCCCTGGGGTGGAGGGTGTTGGGTATCTGCAGGACCCAAGTTGCTGCATGCTGGGGCCTGGCTCCTCTGGGATTGGAAGACAGTCTTTTCTCTTCAAGAGATGAGATTCTGGGGATCCTCCCTGGGTCCTGACATGGGGCAAGTATAGTCAGAGACTGGGGAGACAAGAGTTGAGGATCTAAGACGAGGACTTCTGTGCTGACACTCCTCTCCTCCTGCGGCCCCACAGTGGGCTCCCTTACTACTGGAATGCGGACACAGACCTCGTATCCTGGCTCTCCCCACATGACCCCAACTCTGTGGTCACTAAATCTGCCAAGAAGCTCAGAAACAGTAATGCAGGTGAGTTGGCAGGTACAAGGGGGCCTTGAGTGATCTTAGCAGTTTTCACTGAGAGGCCAAGTAGAATGATAGTGGATCAGAGGGGCAGGTGAGACCAGGTGGGCCCAGCCTCAGGCAAGGGAGGTTGTTGAAGGCAGAGGCTGCTGGGTCCTGGGGTAGGAAGAGAAAGTCACTTCAAGACTCATGTCCTTAGATGCTGAAGAGAAGCTGGACCGGAGCCATGACAAGTCGGACAGGGGCCATGACAAGTCAGACCGCGGCCATGAGAAACCAGACAGGGGCCATGACAAGTCAGACCGGGGCCACGACAAGTCTGACAGGGATCGAGAGCGTGGCTACGACAAGGTAGACAGAGAGAGAGAGCGAGACAGGGAACGGGATCGGGACCGCGGGTATGACAAAGCAGACCGGGAAGAGGGCAAAGAACGGCGCCACCATCGCCGGGAGGAGCTGGCTCCCTACCCCAAGAGCAAGAAGGGTAAGCTGGGCAAAATGGGGCTGGTGAAACCAGCAAGGCACAGGGCACATGGAGGAAGCCTTCTCTCAGAAAGGTGCCTGGACCTGGGGCCTGGAGGAGGGTGCTGTGGTCCATGGCAGCCAGGGGCTCCATTTCTTCTTGGGGGGTGGGGCTCAGTGATCGGGGCTCCTGGTACCTCTATTGAAGATCCTGCCCTGCCACTTCCACAGCAGTAAGCCGAAAGGATGAAGAGTTAGACCCCATGGACCCTAGCTCATACTCAGATGCCCCCCGGTAAGTGACAGCCCCTCATTACTCAGTATGTGGACACCATCCTCCTGCCTCCTTCCTCCATTCCTCCTCATTGGGACCAGGTGGGCTGTGTCCACCACATCTCCCATCCCCATCCCCTGACTCTTTCATCGGCAGGGGCACATGGTCAACGGGACTCCCCAAGCGGAATGAGGCCAAGACCGGCGCTGACACAACAGCAGCCGGGCCCCTCTTCCAGCAGCGGCCATATCCATCCCCAGGGGCTGTGCTCCGAGCCAATGCGGAGGCCTCCCGAACCAAGCAGCAGGATTGAAGCTTCAGCCTTCCCAGCCCTGGGTTAAAATAAAAGTTTTCCGGTGATGCTGCCCACCATGCCTGAGTGGTTCCTTCGAGGCTGCCCAGCCCAAGTCGGCAAGATGTACAACACGTTTTATTTGCAAAAACTCAGCTAAGGGATAGTGTGGGGCTGGCAGGGGCTGGGGGCTGAGCTAAGGCGGGTCATTATGAGACAGCTTAGTCATGTTGGCCCTGCACGGGGCAGGGGTAGTGGGGACAGGGAGTCCGGTGTCTACCTCATCCTACCCCTAATACTGATCAGTTTGGTCCCAGCTGGGCAAGGGCAAGAAGAGAGAACGAGGCCAGGCCAACGTCTTCAAATCCCAGCGGCTAGGAACCCTTCACCTTGGTGAGCAACCTGTGGTGGGAATGGGGAGGAAAGAAAAACACAAAGCTGGGCTAGGCTGGCAGGTGGGTTTCCTGAGCAAGCGAGGGCGGCAGTGGTGAGGCTGGTAGTCCTGGGGGTTAGTAACGGTGCCCGCCTGGGTCAGAAAGCTACACATGGACTAAATAAATACAACATCTTTATTTGGCATTGGGTATCCTGACATTTGTTCATTACAGTTCCTTAAAAAACAAACCAAAAAAAATCAGAACAAATTAATCAAAAATAAAGATCCAATGGCCCTATTTACATATAGCAAAGACAGCCCAGGCATCTTCCATGCACACACACACCCCATGCCCCGATACAGTTAAGGGGTTAATAAGCTTTGGGGAGTGCAGGAGGCAGGTTCCACAGTTCATCAATCCCAAGACACCCCCATGAGGTAGGGGTGCCTCACACAGCCAGTGGGGTATCAAGGGTGTGATTGGCAGCTTTATTTTTCCTCTCTAGATGTCTCCATAAATAACCCTGCATCTGGCAAGTGACAGTGTCTTAAATACAATGAGATTCAGCCACTTCAAGGACCTCCACTTTTCCCACGCCCTGGATCATTAATGATCTGATTACACCACAAATCCCAAGTCCACTGGAAAAAAAAATATTCTCTACCGCCCGCCAGAAGGGCTGATGCAAAAACCTCAGCTCTTGTCCAGGACTCGCAAGAAGCCCATCCTCAAGGTGTCAGGGAAGCTGCCCCAAGGCCACACAAAAGACCGAACTGCTAACATGATCCAGAGCGGTGGTAAGGGAGGAGAGAAGGCCTCAAACTATGGGCAACCAAACCCCACAGGTAGGCATCGGTCATTCCTGAAGAGCTGCAGGAGTTTTGTCCAGTGTGTCCTTATGGAGGTGGAGAGACTGCTGGGAGGATCTCTCCCAGACAAGACACTTCGAGCAGAGGGCACAGAGTCGGGGAGGGGGCAGACAAAAAAAAGGCCTTGAATGACAATAACCCCCAACCCTGCCTCCAAAGAGGTTCGAGGGGGCAGAGGAGGCAGCTCTAAAACCTCCTCCAGGGGAAGAGGATCAGCCTACCAGGAAGGGTTCACGTGACACCCAGCCCTAGTCTCATGCCCCTCCAGAAGTCTCAGTGATGTGGGAGAAAAGACCATCTCCCAAACCCAGAGGAGCCAGGCCCCGCAGGGTGGCGACTTGGGTCCTGCAGATGCCCAACACCCTCCACCCAGTCCCCCTCCCTTGTGTCCCCCCATTGCTGCCAGCCCTCACTTCACCAGCACTGACTTTGGCAGAAAGGGCTCCGTGATGAGGTCTCCACGGTGGGAAGAAAGCTGTGGTGGCGGTGGCTGCCCGGGAGGCTGCTGGTGAACACAGGGCGCAGAGGCAGAGGCAGAGGCAGAGGCTATGGCTTTGGCTGCACCTCGGGGAAGGCTGTAGAGGTAGACGGCACCAATGACGAGCCCAGCGCCAAGGGCAAACAATGGGTCCACATGGAAGCCAAAGAGGCGAATGGAGGCAACAGTGGACAGCACAATAGACAGGGAGGTGGCAAAGCCCTTGAGGATGTTGTCAGCGTACTTGACAACCACAGCCACCAGTAGCCCGCCAAAGGCCTGGTTAAGCACCACGCCCCAGACAGCAGGCGTGTACCCAAAAAAGAAACCGCGGCTGGCCACGGCAGTGCCCTCAGCCCACCAGAGCCCCACCAGGCCCAGTGCTGTACCAAAGAGGCCCAGTTGCAGGTTGCGTAGCCACACAGAGCCTGAGCTGCCTTTGAGGATCTTCTCAAAGTAGACACCTGCGAAGCCAGAGGAGAGACAGGAGGCCACGACAGCTGCCAGGCCTGCCCCAGGGTTCTGATCCAGTGGCCGTGGGCCTCCCCCACCGGCTTGCTGTGCCTGGACAATGGCGACACCAGTGAAGAGGAGCAGCAGGGAGGCCCACTGCAGCCGGGAAAGGCTGCGGTTCAGCATAAGCACGGAGAACAGCGCTGTGGTCAGGATCTTCAGCTGGTACGTCACCTGTGAGTGGCACATGGAAGGCACTGAGGGCTGACCCCAGCCCCCAACAGGTGCACGTGGGGGGCAGCACCCACTGTGGGCCCCCAGGCACAACAGAGGGACAGGGTGGGGTGGATGACAGTAAAAACAGCAAAAGTAGCCAGCCACTGGCCATTCGCCGAGCTGTAGCAAAACAGCTCTGAGGTCCCTCCCAGAAAGTGCACAAAAGGATGGCTGTGCCAGGAAGTCCACATCCCAATCCCATTTCCTGGCTGTGTGACCAGGGACAAAGCACTTGTCCTGTTTGAGCCCTGGCATCATCTATAAAATATGGCTGAGGTATAGAAGTAGGTAATCTCAGCCGGGTGTGGTGGCTCACGCCTGTAAATCCCAGCACTTTGGGAGGCTGAGGTGGGCGGATCACTAGAGGTCAGGAGTTCAAGACCAGCCTGGCCAACATGGTGAAACC